TGGGAGTTGAAGTCCACACGTCTTAATGTTGCTAAGGTTGAAAAACACTCTCAGAGAGGAAAGACAGGCAAGAGTAAAGGGTTTTAGCAACATGCTACGTCTTGAGTGACAGGGTGGAGTTACTTGCAGAGCTTCAATTACACCCCATTAAAGACGGGGATTGCCCAACATCAGTAATTTTTAATTCTATATTTAGTTTTCTCTGACTAACCAGCGGAGTTTCCGTGAGCTGATCCCCATAAAGATTGCTTACGGGGTTTGGGTCTGTTCAGTTGCGCTAATCAACCCAGCGCCTTCGAGAGCGATCCGTGGGTGACCGTAAGTACGTTTTCCACCCTTAGGTTTCTTTGCTCCAAGTATGTGTCGTTCAAGGCGCTCCTGAGCATCATAGATGCCATCGGGGGGAAAAGGCCGGCCTTCTTGGCAGGCTTACCATTTTCAAATAGTGTAGCACAGAAGGAAAAATGGGTGGGGAGGGAAGAGGAGAGCTGCAAGCTCAGGCATTCTTGAGCGGAAACGGTAATTTCCAATATTGCCCATACTTCAGAAAAAGAAGGAAGCGGGTGGTTTCGGTCATTCAGCGGCGTGGACGGAAAGGATATTGATTATGAGGGAGAAAAAAAGGGAAAAAAACATTCACTCCACGCCCAAAGGCCAACGTTGTCGCAAGAGCTCGCCCGAAGGGAGGGAAGTGCCAGGAAGCATGATGGGAAATGTAGTTTCCCCAGGCCTAGAGCGTCGCTACTCTTCGCTCCTCCTCTACGCCGCCCTCAGCTCTGGCCAATCCGCGGTTCTTCTATTCCCCGCCCCTTTCCCGTCAGACCAATAGGACGCGAAGGAGGCGGGGCTCCCCGCCAGAAGCGGCCAATGGGCGAGCGGCAGGCGAGCAGTTTCTTGACCGAGGCTTAGGTAAGCCGAAAGGGGCTCGGGAAGGCGAGCAGCCGGGGAAGGGGGGGGGATCCCCGGGAGGAATTTCCCTGGGCGGCCTTGAAATGGTCTCTCCCGCCCTGGAGGGTTTGCAGCGGGCGCGCCTGAGCATGGGCAGAGCGCCTGCCTCCCTGGAGAACACCCCCGAGCATGTGCAGAGTGTAAAATAGCTGCGTTCCCCAGCAGGGCGCCTGCGGAAGGGAGGGCTTCTCTCTGTTGGGTTGCTAGCCGGGGTTGGGGTTAACAAACAGGGGGTGAATCATAGATCGTAGGTCTTTATGGGGCTGTTTGGGGGAAGAGGGGGTCCCTTCCCTCCCCCCTCCAGAAAAGCATCTTTCTTCCACCCATTGGGTGGATTTCAACTCCCATCCTCCCCATCCAGCCTTTCTGGAAGGGACCAGATGAGGGAATGACACAGAAATTAAATTTTGCAAAGCTGGGTCTGGGGTCCGGGGTTTCGTTTAGGCTTCATATCCAGTTTCCCCCACAGCCAGCCTGGCCTGGGGCTGCTTTCCCAATGATTTCCTATCCCTTTTATTATGATTTCTGCCTTTGCAAGTGGAAATGGACCCCGTGGAGCCCACAGAACGGTGTTTTCCAAGCTTGGCCCCTTTCAGATGGGTGGACTTCAACTCCCAGAATTCCCCAGCTGGGGAATTCTGGGATTTGAAGTCCACCCATCTGAAAGGGGCCAAGTTTGGAAAACTGTTGAAGGAAGGGAACAAGAAAGGCAAAGAAAAGTCCATCAGGACGTTCTTGTTTAATTCTTGTTTATGACTTGTGCAAGTGCAGCCGGTTGTGCTTTTTCTATTTATTTATTTTTATTTATTACATTCATTCCCCCACCCATCTCCCCCCAATGGGGGACTCTGGGCGGCTCACAACACATTAAAAACAATAAATAAATATGCAATTAAAAGCCTACGTACGCAGTTATAAAAGATGAAGGAAGACGTCCAGGAGGCCGACGGTTCAGGGCAGCCACCCTGAATTTATTAATAAATTTCTTGATTTATTCTGGTGGGATCCGTGGTTTAGGAGGTTGTGGGAAGCCAATCGCTTTGATTTGATTTGATTTGATTTGATTTAATTTAATTTAATTTTGCAGGTCAGAGGCCGCCCGGCTGTGGACCGCTTACAACTTTAAAAGCAAGAAACAATAAGGATAGAACATAGACACCCGGAAGAAAGCAGTCAGGGGGTTGTTAACGGGCGTGTGGATGTTAATTTCTTCGGGGTTTTGCAGGTCACGCGGCTTCGCTGGTTCCCCCGGGGCCACGCTTAGAACTGGCAGCTTCCAAGGGCTGGTCGCTTCTCCGCCGGAACCTGTGGCTCCGCAGGAACGTTGTGCCAGCCGGAGAGCCGCGGGGGCGTCTCCAAGTTATGACGGCCCAAGTGGACGGGGCGTTTTCGGGAAGCAGGGGAGGGACCTCCAATCCTGCAGCCGTGACGGCGGGGATCATCATCATTGGGGACGAGATCCTAAAGGTATGCGAGCCATCCTGTGCCTGTGTCTGTTTTAGAGAAATTGAGGCAGCTTTGATTAGCATTTTAACCTTTTTTCCTCCAGCGACAGAATAAATGGGACCGATAGTTAACCTCCTGGTGTTCACGGACTGACTCATTCATTGGTTAGATTTCTGTCCTGCCTTTCTCACGAGAGCAGACGAAATCTGTCCCCTCCTCCTGTTTTTCCCTACAACAATCCTGCGAGGTAGGCCAGGCTGAGAGAAGGTTACTAGATCAAGCTCTGACCTTCTGTGGCGGAGAGTGAATTAGTACCTGTGTTTTCCCAGGGACACTCTAAACCAGTGTTTCTCAACCTTGGCAACTTGAA